AGCTGGAGGACTTGGTGTGTCAATGTCCTTGTAGTTTATATATATATATATATATATATATATATATATATTACATAATTATATCAATATGCCTCAATGGTTAGAACACGTATTGCGCATGTCAAGCTGTCGTCTGCCGAACCACGCCTTATTCGCTGCTCCTGCTCCAGGATAAAGGATGTTTCGTGGAGGTCAACAAATACCGTGGAGACTCATAAAGAAATGTACAAAGCGATAAAGCAAAGGTTTCTCCGGTACAGGTTGGTGATGGTGATCCTATGGACTAGACACCTGCGCTCAATGGATTGTGGATTCTGATCTCTGTCATGTCGCCTTACATGTCTTAATCATTGTGCAACGGTGGTACAGCGAACTTCATTGATCGCTACCAAACTCACAAAGCTTTCAACGTTAGTGTCTAGGATTGAATCTATTTTCAGGGAGAGGGGAGAAAAAAGAAAACCCTAATGGTCCACTTGGTGCGCAACCAAACACCGCATACATGCCTTTTCAAACATTCTAACCTGGTAAGAAGTGACAACATGTGCGCCACTACTGTTTGTTCGCTGCCATATCGTCCACTGTTTCCAACCAACCCAGGCCTGGCATACCGGTTTTACTTTTCAGTTTAAGGCTTCGAGGGATCTTTCAGTGATGTGGTTCAACCAAGTCCTCCTGTTGGATTATTCGTAGACAGTAATAATGTGGCAAGTGTTCCAGGTGCATGTCGTGATACTTGACTTTTACTACTCACTTAGCACTAGTGGCGATAAGATTATTCGCGTATATTCTCCAACGCATGCCTGCGCGAAATATGACCAAAAGTTAATGAGTAATTCAGTAGAACGAGGAGATTGTCGGAAATCCAATCGTTTTCGCCTGGTGAATTGTTGATTGAATTCCTTTCGGTATGCCAAGTAGATTCCGTAAACGTGCACTGGTGTCTTGCATTTTTCATACACCTTGGGGTAACTGAATTTTCGCTTGTAATTAATGGTTTCTGTTCCTTTCAGGTGTTACCTGGACTGAAGAGACGCTCTTCGCTTATCTCTTGGATCCCAAAAAGTACATTCCCGGGACCAAAATGGTTTTCGCCGGTTTGAAGAAGGAATCGGATCGTGCTGATATTATTGCCTACTTAAAGCAAGCCACCAGCTGAACAACTAGTCCGTCTTTCACATTTGAACACTAGCTTGTCACGTACAATGACATATGGCCCAAGTGAACATCATGTAAAATGAAGTTAAACCTTTGTTAGTTTACTTCTATCTGTATCATGATTGTGAATAGCCTATCATAGATGCTCTTATATGAAAGCTTGTTTTCTGCAGCAGTACAACTGGGATTGAAGGGTCGCAAGATTTCTGT